AATAAAACGAGGCCCCGCACGGCACCTTCTCCTTTAGGGGCAGTCTGAGCACAGCGAGCTTCCTCCCCGGGCCGTGCGTGAACCCGCTGTGAACCGAATTTCCTCTCCAGGAGTGCTTCCGACTATTCCCACTCCAAACACGGGCAGATCAAGGAGTTTTGAAGGGTTTTAAAAAAATTTTTGGACATCCATTTTGAGTAATAAGACAAAGATGCCCTTCGCTGGGACGGCCGGCTACGGGGGTGCGTGACTCCTACTCTACCCGAACACCCGAAAGGCCCAGGGAGGATTTCACGCGGTGTGTGCCTGGCTGGTCCCCGTGTGGGGTCTCCCTGCTTGTCCTCGGCGGGCTGCAGGGCTGCGTGCTGCTGGCACCACCGCTGGGACCCTCAGACGGCCCACCCCACCCTTCCTGGCTGCGTCTCACCTGTGGACACTGGCCTGGGCCGGAACGTGCCCCATGGCTGGCCTGTGCCCCCTGCAGTGCCCGGGGGCCTGCTGCCGTCCTCGGTGGCCTGGGGTCTCCACACCGGCACGGAGGTCTCGTCCGCCGACCGGGGCCGCCAGTCCCCCACGCAGGGCCTGGCCTTGGCGGGCTGGGCCGCAGGCAGCAGACCGCTCAGGGAGGGGGAGACGCGGTCGCTGCAGACAGAGGCACAGGAGGTGGACAGGGAGCAGGAGCCGCCGTCACTCAGCTCGTAGAAGCCTGGATGGAGCAGACACGGCAGGTCAGTGCACCCCCGGGTGGGGACCCCCTTCTGGAGGAGCCCCGGGACCCCTCTCCTCTGGGTACCCGTCACAGGCAGGCAGGGCCTGAGGGAGCCCCGAGCTGGGCTCCGGGAGGCTGTGGGAGCTGTCGGCACCGTGGTCAGAGCCCGCTTCACCCCACCCCGAAGCACGGCCCGTGCCCCGACTATCCCCACGCGCATCTATCTGCCTTGCTCCAGGAGGGGAGACGCCCGCGTGGGCTTTTCCATTAAAAGGAATAGTTTTCTCTGGCATGCATGTGTGTGAGCACGCTCTCTCTCTCTCTCTGTCTCTGTCTCTCTCTGTCTCTGTCTCTCTCTGTCTCTCTGTCTCTCTCTGTCTCTCTGTCTCTCTCTCTCTGTCTCTCTTTCTCTCTCTCTCTCTCTGTCTCTGTCTCTCTCTCTCTCTCTCTGTCTCTCTTTCTCTCTCTCTCTATATATATATACATATACACACACTCTTTTTTCTAGAACACTTCTAAATCAAAACATTTCATTTTTAGTATTGTTCAATAACATATGCTTTTGGGGCTTAAATATTGCCTCCTGACTTTCGGATCAGCCCGGAAACAGGCCGGGGACGGGCGCTCCTCCCTGCCTCAGACGCCGGGAAGTGCTGGGACTTGGAGTTCAGGCCCCGAGAAGGGCTGGCGGTGGGAGGTGTCTGCCGGGGTGCGGGGCCCTTGCACACCGGCCCGGCGTACCTGAGCTGGGCCGGCTGTCGCTGTCCAGGGCCTCTCCGGGGGACGCGCCCACGTCCAGCTGCAGCTGGCTGATCTGCTGGCCCAGCTGGTCCAAGTGGGTCTCCAGGCCGACGTCCTGCTGTCTTAGCCGGGCCTGGGGAGGCAGAATGGGAACCACAACTGATGCGAGTGCAGAAACTGAAATTAGGGCTCGATGCGGTAAAAACGTTTGCATCACGAATACAAGTTAAACTCCCAAATCCACATGAAATTCGCCCCCTCACTCTGACAGCTGCTCCTACGCACACCCAGGCAGTCTCCTTGCTCTGCACACGGAAAGAAAAAAGCCTCCTGGCCCTCCCCGCCCCCCATACAGGTTTCCCCACCAACTGCAGACTATTTTACTCATCGGCAGTTTCAATTAGACATTTCTCTACAAGGATACAGAATGATACAGCTGTGGGAGAAGCAGATTCTCAGGCTGCATTTGCTGCAGGCGAAGGTGATGTTTCCATCTTTCTGCCAAAACCCGAACGGTTCAAAACCTTACTTGTAACGTCAGGGAGGGAGAAGGGGCTTAACATTGAGGAGTGGGGGGGGCAGGAGGCTTTTTTCTTTCTGCTGTGAGGACCTTCCTCATGTAAAGTTCACATCTGTGTGCGTGCGTGCATGTGTGCTTAAGATGCGCCTATGTCCACAAGCACACGTAAATAATGTTTGTAAAATCAGCCCGCTGATGTCTTTCATTCAATTACCGAATTC